CGTGGCAAGCGATGCTCCCAACATTATACCTCCCGAGGTACAATGGCTTTAATGTACACACAGCCTTTGTGAAAGATGAATAATAAGGTGCATGCTTCCTGGAGGCTCGAGAACAAAACTTTGCTGATGCTGGAAGACACCAAAACACGTCAACATGCATATAGACTTAAGATGTATACACTCTGCCTGTAGCCTCCAAACTCTCACCCTATATAGGCCTCCAGCTGTGCATGCTTTCAGCAGCTGTTGATGCAATCACGGGCCAAAGCACGACGGTGTGCAGCCGGGCCTGTTCCGGCACTTGCCACACCCATTGGGTCGCAGCTTGATGCGAGCCGACAAAGTCATGCATCGGACCTCTTCTCGAGTGAACTTCTTCAAAGCCTTCTGGACCTTCTTCGGCTGCGACTTCGCCTTCGCCTTGCAAGCAGCCTTGGCCTTCGCCTTGGGCTGCGACTTTGCTTTGGGCTGGGACTTCATGGCCGTGCACTTGGCCTTCGCCTTAGCCTTGGCCTTGGCTTTACCCTTGGCCTTGGCTGCAGCCTTGGGCTTCTTATTTGCCTTGTGCTTCGCCTCGTTTTCCTTGGCCTCGGCCTCGACGGTGCTGTCGAACCCTTTGTTGTCGCCCTTCCAAGCTTGAAGCATTTCATCTGCATGTTGTGCAGCGCTGACAGGATCCTTGCTGGCCAGCACTCCCTGTTGCTCGGCCTGCTTTGTTCCGCTGCCCTGTGCCGGTTCATTGGTAACTGTAGGAAGCTGCAAGGCCTGCTGTTGAGCAGGCGAGGAGGCCATCGTCCCAGACGAGGCGGCAGCAGCTGGGTCGCCGAAGATTTTCAACCCAGGCAATCCATCGTTCTTCTTCGCCAATTGCTGCTGCTGGTTGAACATGTTAGCTGCCATGCTGCCCCAGAACTGCATCATACCCTGCATGGTGTGGGGCATGTGCATTGCCGGGCCTGCTGCTGGACCACCCAGCACCATGGCAGTGTTGCTCTTGTGGAAAGAGAGGCTTTTGTTACTGCCACGAAGAGCATCACGGGCCAGCACCATTGTTCCAGGCAGCTCACCTCCCAAGGCATCTGCGAAGCGATCTCGGGTGTGTGGTGGAAGATCCTCAGGCCGAGTGTACTTGGCGACGAACTCGCCACAGGAAGCATCTTTGAGCATGGTCTTCACCTTCTTCTTGAGGCACACGACAGCCGAATGGAACTCGTCGGGGTTCTGCAAGCCAGTATTGTTGCAACTCTGCAGGGTCTTGATGATGTGTCCCACAGACTGTTCTGATGGCCAGAACATCTCCAGTCGAGCCATTATCTGAGCAGTGTGAGTCAGCCTCATGACGAGGGTGTCGTCGCGGGACAAAACTCTCCGGTCCTCGGCGCCCAAGAAACCCCAGAAGTTGAGAATTTCCTGGTTCTTCTTCTTGGCCTTGGCATTTGCTGGAGTGCTGCCTGCCAAGGTCTGGGAGACGGCTGCACCCAGGGCCTGCTTCTGCTCGTGTGACCAAAGGCCCTGCTGCACCAAGCTGCAGATCTCTGCACCCTCCTCGACTGTGATGTGGCTTTGACGAATCGTTCTGATGGCGACCTCGCTCTGAGCAGCCAAGAGAGAAGTCCATTGATCTCCCATGATGGGCTGCTGGGTCTGGAGGAGCTGGTTCAGCTGTCGAAGGAAAGCAGCTGCCATTGCACGGCCGGATATAGCACAGATGCTCTGCACAAAGCGAGCTGCTGTAGCCCTGCTTGCGAACACCTGTCTATATAGAGCAGCAGCGGGCAGCAGGCAGATGATGGAGTGCATGTGCTTTGCAACACACAAGCATGTAGCCTGCCACTGGAGACGTCTTTCACATTGCATGCAGTCACAGACCGGAAGACTTCACCAAAGGGGTCTCGGTTTCGCAGGCAGGGCTCTGAGCTCGCCAGCAGAACCCGTAGACACCCTCAAGAGCACAGCCATGTTACTACAGTATACCGACACCTGCAGGCATGCAAGTGGGTAATATATGTGTATGTAAGTTCAGAGATTCAGTCCATTTCATATACACATAAATATATATACACATATATGTATGTATATATATATATATATATATATATATATGTGTATGTAAGAATATATGAACGATATGTTTTGGTATCTGTATATGTATATATATATATACATATCGTGTATATATACATATATATATATATGTATGTGTGTGTGGGGTATACACATCTCACATGTAATAGGTATATATGCAGAGTGTGTAAAACTGTGTATGTATATGTACTTCAGTGAAATCCATGCAGCCACTTTGCTATGTAGCAGTCTCTTCCTTCACAGCCAACCCCCCCTCCCTCCAACCCCCTTGTACCTTCCCTCGCTCACTCGTTCTCTGTCTCTGTCTCTGTCTCCCTCTCTCCCTCTCCTCGTTTGTTGCTCTTTGTCGCAGACACAAACACACACACACACACATGTTGCCATGGGGGTCTGTGTGCCTCATGGGCCTGACCAAACGGTGCACACTCGGAGGATGGGCGGTTTTTCTTCAAACTGGCCCATATGGTCTGTGGTCGTGAAACAGTCACAGGACGAGGCCCCGGTAGCCCGAAGCCTCGGCTATACAGGGGGAGATAGCCCCCTCGCCGATTCGTCTTCTGCAGCCCAAAGCTATTTCTTACCTATATAGTTTCCCTACTTATTGCCTAGAGAGGCCAGAGGACAGGGAACCACGAGGCACTGGGAAAGCAACCCTTTATGCATGCATAAGGGGCCTGACCCCAAAAACCCGAAACCTTTATGTATGCATAAAGGTTTGTGCCCTTGGCCCTGCCGAGGTTTATGCATGCATAAGCCCCGCCCTAGGAAACTGAACCCAGCCATATGCATGCATAAAGTTCCGGTCTATTTTGCTTAAGGGGCTTTATGCATGCATAAACCCCGGCCATCGGGACTGGTAGCCCTGACCCTCTGTGCCCGAAGCGGCGAGCTGGAAAATGCCCCCAATTTCAGGTCCTTCGCTGCTCACAGCATGCAGGACCTTGGGATCCAAGCAAGCAGGCCAGGCCGTATATAGAGCAACACAGGCGGTCTGAGCTTCCAACTATTAGCGGCTCCCCTGGTCTCCAGGCAACAAACCAGGGGTGCCAGGCAGGAACCATGGGATCCTGCCAGGCATTATAAGTTTCAACACCATCAGGACAGAAAGGCTCCTCGGTCACAGCACAGGCCTCAACGGACTCGCTTCTCTTGCAGGTTCATCGTCTCGGCCATGACCCCCATGGTGTGGAGGGAGGCCCGCAAGTCCTGCATGTCGGGGCTCGCGGTGTCTTCAGCTTTGCTGTTCTCGTGGATTGGCAAGCAGCAAGGGTCCTCCATGTGGCTTCGGGACTCCTCCAAGGCCCCTTGGGCCTGGAGTGCCCGGACACCTTGGCCACCACGTGTCCGGGCCCTCTTTCTCCCCATGCCCGCCGCCCACTCCTGCAACGGGGCCAGCAGCAAGCAGAGGCAAACCTGAAGCACCATCACAAAGACCAAGGCAAGCCTGCCCGTGCTCGTCGATGAAAGCGACCTGCCCAAGAAGACTGCATCAGTATAGAGACAAGTGCAGTCGTGCATGCCAGACCCAAAGAAAAAGCCTTGGGCTTCACGTAGTGCCCTTTGCCCTTCGTGTCCGGCATCAGATCTCCTCAATCCAGACAACAAACACTTGCAAAGAAGCCTGGCTCCAGACAACCACAAGAAGTCCTTCGTCCCAGTTCGAGGGCAAAGCCTGCCACAGATGCAGCATGCATTATATACACAGTGAACAGCTATATGCTTGCTGTCCTTGGTCTTTGGCACGGGGTCCATGTACCTCTTCGGAGGCGGGTCCTGCAATCAAACAAGAAGTACATTATATCGCCTTACGAAGAAATTCCGCCTTCGGCTCCGTTGGGCGCTGCTTCTTGCTGTTCGCCGGCTTCAAGACAACTGGCGAGCAGGCACACTAGATATGTACGATGGAGCAGCATGCAAAAGCAGTTGCAATGACATGTCGGGCATGCTGGGCTCGGCCGCTGGATCCTCGACGTCCACCTCCACGGTGTCCGACTCCTCGTGGCCTGCATGCTGCAACTACATGGATATATACATATGGACTCCTTGAGCTTCAAATACCCGGCCTTCCAGGCATATCACAGAAGCTTTAAAATCTCCCACATCGTCGTTCCAGTAGAGCCACCCGCCTTAGGCGACAACGGTTTTCTTCTACCCAAATTAAGAAAACACCTAGGACCAGGGCTGGCAGGCACGTTCATGGCCTGCACGTCTGGGTGCTTGAAGTACATGTCACCTGCACGAGTGCACGAGCCAATTCACTTGATTCCATGCAGACACTATATATAACTGCAGCCTCCAACAGACAGGATCTTCCACCCCATCTTGGCCGACCAGGAAATCGTGGTGCCTGCAAAACAATTGCAACCAAATGAAAGGCTATATATCCATATCACTTGCCTGGGGGCACCGGCCTTCATCATTCTTGTATTTCCCCCTCCCGGACTTCGAGAAGTCCGTGTGGAGCTGCAGCCGCTCCACCACATCGGACTGTTATTTTTGGGGCGGTGGCATGTGTGTGCATGTGGTTGTACAGGGGCCCCACCTCCACAGCGGAGGGAAGGCTTCGCGACAAGAAGCTAAAGGACATCATCACTCCCAAAAACCACGGCAGCTTCACAAGCCAAAAGAGCTGAAAAAGCAAGCATGGCGCAGACGTGGCACCCACTGCAACAAGGGCAAATGTGCATGCAGAAACACGACACCAATGTTCAGAGAGCTTCGGTCGATGTCGTCTGTCCAAAGACAGCATCGGGCAATCAAAGTGTGGAGCCGTTGTGAGTTTGCATCATTGACAGTAATATATACATATGTATATATATATATATTTTTTTTTCACGGTGTGTTGATACATACTATACATCAAGTATACACATTGCATGGATGCACGGAAGATACATGCGAGACTGCATGCAGAATCACTTCTTGGCCTTCGCCGGGGAGCCAACGATGCCCTTCGGGGCCGGGTTCTTGGCCGGGGAGCCATTCAGGATGCTCTTCAGGGCCGGGCTCTTAGCTTTTGCCTTGGCCTTGCCCTTGGCTTTCGCCGCTGGAACCTTCTTGGCCTCCTTGTCGGAATCCTCGCTGGCATCGGTCTTGTCCCGGGAGCTGTGCCTTCTTTTCTTCCGATCGACAGGCATTTGTTGATTCGCCTGCTCCATGAGCCAATTGAAATTTTCGGAGAGCATCTCCACGAAGATGCTCCCGGTAGACAGGCCCTCGCTGAGGATCGACAGCTGAAAGCCATCGATCGTAATGTCGACGATCGCCGGCAACACGTGCAAATGCTTGGCCAAAGCCTTCACCTTATCCTTCTTGCTTTTCTTCTTCTTGGGCTCGTCGTCGGCTTCATCGTCCCTCAGGGCCTCTTCCAGCAGCTTGTCGCAAGCAGCCTGCCTCTTCTCGATCAAATCGTCAAAGAGCTTTATGTTCAGCGACCCCGATTATTCCCCTTGGCCGGACCGCAAGTCCAGTCGTTTGCCTGTGATCATTTTCACAAGCTGCGGGGACCATTTCGAGACAGCACAGAAGACCCGGTCGTCGACACTCTTTTGGGTTGGCATCCAGCTTCGGTCACCCAGCACGACAACCTGTTTCGTCACAATCTCGAAGCAAGCCATGATGATGCGATGCACGGGGGAAATGGTTTGATGCGAGGCTGGAGCTGTTTTCTGCCGGCGAGCACACATGCCCTGCCTAGGCGAAAACGACACATCCATGCAAGCAGCAACTTCAACAATGCACCTGCACTTCATCACGGGCGATGCATCCTGCACTTGCATACAGAAGCATAAAACTGCACTGCATTTCCATCCGCAAAGCACAAGCTCGCACACCTGAGGGATCCTCGCACCATGCAGCTGCACAGAACACTCTATGAATGGTCGCTCTATAAAAACCATGCCCCTCGGATGCTTGCAACCTGCAACAATTGTACATATCCTTCTCCGCAATGCATTAGAAACAGACCTCACATATACATACAATGGAATCTTTCAGATACTGCAAGCTCAAGCAATGGCTGCTGCTGGTATAGCAGCACACTGGACTGCATACGGATGCCGAAACATCACTTCTTCTGAGCCTTCTTGCTGGAGCCACCTGAGCTCGCCGATGCTCTTTTCTGCGCCAAAGTCTTGTGGTCGTCCTCCACTTCCTCCAAGGGAGCCACCTGCACCGTTTTAGATCTGAAAGCCACAATGGGGCTGCCTTCCGGGATCTTCTTGGTGTTCTTAAAAACCGGAATCTTGATGCTCTTCTCTGTTCCCGCAATCCAAACAAGCTTCACATTGCAATCCTCTTCCTGATGGCTGTGCTGCACCAACCAAAAGGGAACTACCACATGTTTGCAAGTGTCGTCGTCGTTATCTTTGGGTAGAATGTTGGCTCCGGAAAGCCAAAACTTGCGGTCGTCTCCTTGCCAGTCCGTCTGCACCTCAAACATGGTGTTGCCTTGGCCCTGGGATTTCTGCACGACCTTGTTGGTCATGGGCACCATGCAGAGTTTCTTGATGTCCGAGTTGGCAAGCAACACCCTCGAAGGCTTCAGCTGCAATTTCAGGTGCTCCGATCCACACTCCATGGACTGGTGAAGCTTGTAGAGCTCAAGCTGAATCTTCGATGCAAGAATGCTGGCATCAAAATCCACATGGTGCTGGTACTGGTCCAAGCTGTCTAGCATTGTGGGCTGCACACGAGGAACAAACACGACCCAATCTCCAGCCATGATAACATTGAGATCCACCTTGGCCGTCTTTCCCGAAGCCATCTTCACAAAGACCATCTGACCTTTCACTTCTGAAAGAACTCCCTCGATTTTGTCAACCTTGCGACGGATGTGTGCACCCATAGCGAAACCCTTGGAGGCCAATATCTTCTCAGGTTCCTTGATACTGCCGTCTTCAGCAAGCTCAAGCATCACACCTGCAGCAGAAGGCTGGGAAGCAGTCGCTGCAGTTGCAGCTGGTTCACTTTGCTCAGACACCGACTCCCATGGCAAAGGGAGTGCAACACCGGTCAGGTTTCTTGCCACGAGCAAAAAATCGTGCCCAATCGCTTGGACTGTTTTGTACTTTTTCTCGTCCGGCACCTTGATGCCGAGGACGTGCGATGCTATCGTCATATCCATAGTGGCCAGAGCCTGCACGACCCGCGAATCCGTCATGAAATCGCGAGCTCCATCCCTTAAGATGCCCCTGACCGTGAGGATCATGTTGTCAGCTTCCTTGACCTTGGGGAAGAGTTCTTTAGAAGTCATCTTCTTCACATCAGCAATGGTCACATTCTGCCTCAAGTATGCCTGCTTCATGAGTGCATGGCGAAATGCTGCAACGGGATCTGACTGGTGCCCTCGGCAATCTTGCCCGAAAGCCTCCCACAGGACAGGCCCCAATTGCCGAGAAGAAGGGCAGTAAGCCCGCACAAAGGACTCCGTCTCCTGAAGGAAGCTCGCATCGGCACCCCCGGAAGCCTTCAGACAAAACGTAAACATGTGGGGTACGGAGGCATGGCAGCTTGGTTTGCTGGCCAATATCAACTTCTTCAGAGATGCAAAAGCCGGTGCTTGGCCAGTCTGAGTCTGCAAGCGGTAGTACGTGGAATGGATGCGACGGAGTACTTGTAGCTCATGTTCTCCTCGTTGAAGCGATGTGTTGCCTGACCGGGATATCAAGCTGATCAGCTCTGGGAACTCTTCCGCCACGGAGGAGGAGATCACGTCCCACGTCAGGCCTTGATCAGCTGCTTCGTGGAACGAAGCATCCCGAGCACGAAGAAGCTCCATGCTGAGCTTTCCACCCACACTCACGACCTCGTTGCCGTGGCTTGCACCTTGTTGAAAAAGTCGCAAAGCGCAATTGGTATGTGATCCGCAGATCGAAGTGATCTTGATCGCTTCCGGCTCAAGGCTTCCGAGAAGACCGTGGGCTGACTCGAACAGCTTCTTGTTCCACTGCCGGACCCAGTCTCCTTCGACTTCGACACCGACCGCATGCACACGTGTGGGGACATAGCCCACATCGACAATCGAGTCCACAAGATCACGAACGTCTTGTGGATTCACTCCGTACCCATCCCGGTTGCAGGGATGGATCCCCACAAGGCTCGCCTCCAACTTCATGGAGGTCAAGAGATGCTTGGACTTCAAGTAGTTCAAGCAGTTCTCCACGATTCGGACAAGGCCGTCGCCATCCGAGGCTTCTCGAAGGAAAGCCTGCAGCCGCTCTCGCACATCCGACTGCAAAGGCATGATGGGCAAGCGAGATGGAGGACGGAGCTGAAAATCTGCCTGCGAGCCAAGGGCCCTGCAATGGCGATAGATGGCTGCAATGCATGGAGTCATGCACAATACACAGAAGGCAAGCATGCGAGCATGTCCTCAACACATGCAATGCAGCAGCTTTCCATGCAATTTTCAATTGCATCCTGAATACATGCGGCAGGAGATCTCCATGCAAGCTTCCGTTTGAAGCTTTGCAAATGCCAGGAAAACAACTTCAAATAAACAACTTACACCACTTACCTAAATCAGTTACACAAAGTTATCTAAGTTTGGCAAGTTGCTTAAAAGACTTGTTCTATCTTACTTATAAGTTCCACCCTGCTTTTGGCTAAGTGACTCAACTGCTTGCTCCACTTCTTAATTCAAGCCTCGGACTTGCTAAGTTGTCCATACAACATAGTATATATACAGCACTTATAACTCATGTTAACGAACTTGTAACTCAACTTAACCTGATTGTCTAAATCTCCTAAACCATGTATTCGATTACTAAACACCCCGCCCCTTCAAGTACCACCATCTTGCCCAGTCATAGAAATTAACCCGGCTAGCACGACACAAACACAAAGGCAGACGCGCGAGGCCGACACCTGAGCAGGGCGGAAATTTCGCCGACAGTTGGACTTCCGGGACAGAAAAGGAACGGCGGGGCCGCTTGCAACAGCGTTGTGTAAGACAAGTGAAAAAGTTGATTCTACTGCAAATAGCACGATGCCGCAAGCCACAATCAAAAGCAGCCCGAAGCAGAGAAGGCACCCAGGGAAGTAGAGCGAAGACGCCCGTCTGACAGCCATGGATATTCCCACGCCCGAGCCGCGAGATGGCACCGACGCGGTGCAGGAGCTCTTGCCGAAGACGAATGCCGAGCAAGCCCCAGAGGCAGAACAACCTGCCGCAGACATCAACGACGAGGGGACTCAAGATGGACCGCTGCAAGTCACGGAGGCGGACATCTGCAGGCCAGAACGACAAGGAAAGCAAGCGGAAAGGAAGCCCGGCAAAGAGAACTGCAGCAGCCGCGCCAACGCGTCTCCGCCTCAGCCGACACGTTCAAGCTCGGCACCTCCGACACGAGCCACCGAACCTGCCGTGACGCAGCTCGACGGCAGCGAAGAGGTCGCCGACACATCAATGATACCGACCAGACCGAACTCGCATCCGATGAAAGACGACCGAATCATGTCGCTGAGCCAAGCGACCTTGAACAGACTGCTGACAGGAACGCAGAGTACGGTCATGCACGGGAGACGCTCCAAAACCGGCCCCGTTTGGCTAGCAAGCCAAGGGGTCATCCACGGGTACGGCGACATCGCGAGCGCGGAGGAAATGACCCCCGACGAGATCAACGCACAGCGCGTCGAGGGCTGGCACCATGGCAAGGCGCACAAGAAGAGCTATGGGATTCGCATCCACGCGATCAGACGCATAGAACCTCTCGTCCCCTACTTCCGACCACCGCGCCAATCCAAATGGGACAGGTACATCCCCATGCCAAAGAAGAGAAGTCGAAGTCCATCCTCGGAAGGGGCAAGCGGAGCCGACGTGCACAGCGAACGCAAAGATCGCAAAGTCCACGAGAAGGAGCATAAGGACGCAGCCACACAGTCCGAGGACTCCGGCAGGGTCGCGAGCGAGGCAGCACGCTCCCCTTGAAGTATCTGGCGTCTTCACCAGGCGCGAAGTTGAAAGCCCCGGCAAACTCCACGAGAATCACGAGAAGCAGCAAGAATCCATGGCAACAGAGTCTCTGACAACAACAGTATTCTTTCCGACAGAGACACGGCATGAGAGACCGGAACGTGGGCCTGCCAGTAGAAAGAATGCGACCAAAGGTGCATGGTGCGGCATGACACCGACAGGTCACGTCCGGGGCTGCCAGGGCTTCCATTCCACGCCACGCCACGTGTACAGCGTGTCTCGTAGTCAACAACATGACTGTCCGCAGGAGTCAGGCTCGAGAAAACGCAAATTGCCCCGTCCGGCCCTGGCACAGCCACAAGCGACGCATGGTCAAACAGACGCTCAACAGCCAAATGACGACCGCAAGCCTGCGCATCTACACCTTGTCCGGAAAAGAGCTGTCCGAGCTGCCCGAACTACCTGAGCCTGCGACCGCTGGCCAGCTAAAGAAGCAGTTGCAGATCACGCACGGAATGACGCGATTCCGACAAAGGCTTTTCAACGGCGCCAACCCCCTGGAAGACCAAGATGAGATAGCTCTTCCCGCAGAACTCCATTTCGTGATGCTGAGCTACATTCCCGCCACGCACGAGAACGTACTCGAACTGATCCACGCCTGCCACCAGGGAAACGAAGTACAAGTTGCAAAGATTTTGCACCGGCCACAAGACGTCAACGCACCCCTGGCATTGCCCAAAGACACCGACGCCCAAGACGACAGCGACGACGAGAGCGAATGTGGAGATCGAGTCGTGACCGCCCTCCAGGCAGCGGCTCGCGAGAACCACGAATGCATCATCGAGCTCTTGCTAGAAGCACGTGCCGACATGCATGCGCCCGGGAACAACATAGCACTCTGGTGGGCAGCAGGGGAAGGCAGTGCACGCGCGGTGCAAGTGCTCCTCCGCGCACGTGCGGAGCTAGACAACACAAACGCCCGCGGCGAAACGGCCCTCCTCGAGGCAGCTTGGCAGAACCACGACGATACCGCCGAGATGCTCATCCGAGCCCGTGCCAACCTCGAGTCCCGTGATATCCATGACAGAACACCTCTGATCGCAGCCTGCATCGCAGACAGTCAGGATGTTGCGGTCTCGCTGCTGCGGGCTCGTGCAGATTTGAAGCGATTCATTCGACATGAGGACGCAAGCTCGGAGGCAAAAACAACGGCAATGGCCGCGGCGGCCATGGCAAACCATCTAGACGCCCTGGCAGCCCTGCTCGAAGCCGGCGCAAACATCAATGCCGCCGGTGGCGTAGCCGACGGAACGGCACTTTGGCATGCCGCAAAGGAAGGAAACATAGGAGCCGTTGAGTTGCTCCTGCTCCACAGAGCCGACCCGGACGCAGACGGCGCCGAAGGGGAAGGAGGGAGCGCCCTGTGCGCGGCAACATTTCAAGGAAACAATGCGGTAGTCGCGCGCTTGCTGACGGCTCGAGCAAACCCGAACTTTCGCAGCTTCCTTGCGGAGCCACCTCTGATCCAAGCATGCATGCAAAACAAGCCCGACACCGCACAGCTGCTGCTGCACGCCAAAGCCGAATTAGGGAAACACCTCCTGCGTGCGATGTTCCTGTACGACATCGACCAGGCCACCAAACATCGCTGGGCGCAGAATCTGCTCCTGGGTAAGGCACGACACCGAAGACGAAAAAGTAAGAAAAGCAGCTGGACCCCAGGTCGTTTCGCAAAGCAAGTGCGACAGAAACCACGGGCCGTGGACACTGCGCGCCCTCACAAGAAACAGCGATCGAGTCGCGACGGCAAACTTCCACCGACCGGCGCAGAGGCAGGCACAGCACGGGCAAGGCCCGCTCATTCGAGAGAAGTTTCACGCTGAGCCATTCCGACACGGACAGATCGCGGCAAAAGACAAAACATGCTTGGCGCGCACCCGGCAGCCACAGCAGCAACGCAAAATTCGCAGCTGCGTCCGCAGCGAGGCATGGCTGATAGCATTCCGAGCAAGCAACAGATGCAAACCTTGCAAATGACGCCATGCTGCTTTTCAAGCCGAAACATGTCCATGACGTCACACAATACTGCTACAGTGCAAGCAGCAGCAGCGAAACGGCTAGCCGAGCAGATTCAGCACCCTCAGAGTTTTGTTCCTTCGGCACTCGAAGCCATGGATGGCATCTTCCCCGCCGCAAAGCAAGCCCCGCTACGGAGGCCGGGCAAATTCGCTCGACGAACGCGGCGGAAGGCCTCCGGTCCACAGCAGCTTCGTATCTGCAAGTTGAGCGGGGAAGTCGTAGCTAAAACAAACACACATCGACATAGAACGCCGATGGACCTGCTTACGTACTTAGAGCCCGTTTGCGGCGTTTCCAAGTACAGGATCAGGCTACTTCACGACGGGCAGAGGCTTCGAAAGAATGGCGTTCGGCGCTTCTCTTCCGCGGAGGATTTGCAGGTAGTCCTCCTGCCCTACGTGCGGACCAACAGCAATAGCCAAGTCTCCCGAAACCTCCGAGAAGCTCTCTACGAGCAAGACACGGCAAAATTGAAGAAATTGCTTTGGCGACCGGTTGATCCAAACACAACCTTTCCCCGATACCTCCCGCGTCCTATCACAGCATTGGAGTTTGCATTGCTGAACCAGGGACCACGCACTAAAACGGTTCTGTTGACGCTGCTAGAAGCCAAAGCAGCTCTTGACCGGCCCGAAAACCAAGGGATGCTCTGCACGGCACTGAAGCACGGAGAAGACGAATGCGTGCGACTGCTGCTAAAGCATCGGGCCGACCCGAACGGTTCCAAGAACCAAATAATGCCCATAGACATAGCATGCCAGCGTCGTCCCGAGCAAGGATCATTTCAGCGTGAAGCGCCCAAGACAGTAGCCATGTTGCTGTCAGCAAAAGCAGACGTACAGCCCATGCTTCGGGATGCCAACAGCTGGGCCATGCAACCAACCCCAAGGGATTATCTAGATTACATACATCCTCGCACGCTCGCCAGCACCGTATCCTTGGTGCGTGCTGCAGTGATGCACGCAAACCCGACGTTCATGCAGCAACTCGTCCAGACTGCCGAAAACGCGAATGTTTGCATCCTGCCTGCATGCCTTTGCAGCGCAGCCTACGGAGGCAACGAGCATGCCGTACTCTGGCTTCTGAACGCGCAAGCCGCAGTGGACTCGCACATCTGCCACCTCGTGCTGAGGGGAGCTCATCACCTCCTCTTCAGCGTCCATGCTCGCCGCACAGCCCTCGCCCTGGCTGCGGGCAGAGGTCACTGCGGAATAGTCGCAATGCTGCTCCGAGCCAGAGCGGATCCGAATACAAGACTGGACGGACAGACGGCCTTGTTGCAAGCTGCAGCACACGGAGCTTCCGAAACAGTGGTGTGCTCAATCTTGAAAGCTGCCGGAGAA